TTTCGTAGGAAACTTTGAGAATTGAATCACTTTGCTATGGTTACATAGCTAATAAATGACAAAGCCAGATCTATCTGATTCTAACTTACTTACACTCTTTTGACAGTGTTGCCCATCTACCTGCTTTATTTTTTCCATCTGATTCTTAAAAAAAAATACCCATCAGCACTAGGAAATCTTGATGTGTTGGTTAGTAGCAGAGTACAGAAAGTAAATACAGAATTGTGCTTATATTATGAAATAACCCCACAAAGTAATGAGAATATTGACATTTTAGGGAAAAAGTGGAAACAGAATAGTTTTGTATTTAAACTTTAAAAAACTGAACTAATTTATACTTACCAAAAAATACCTAATTATCAAAAACAGAAATGTAACCTTTAATGTAATTTTTGCTAAATTAGAGACTTTTACTGGAAAATAGTGTTTAGAGACCAGTATTTGGGCCTAAGTATGATATAACTGGAGTGTTATTGCTCCTAGATCTTTTCAGTGGACAGGGCTAGGAAGTACACACACACATACATGCATACATACATACATACAGTAAATGTACATACATACATATAGTAAAAATGTACACGCATACATATACTACATACAAATGTACATACAATGTACATATAAATGTACATACATACATATAGTAAAAAAAACTAACTTGAGGTTTATTTTAGGTATTTAGGAAATTAACAAATTTATTCAATGCATAGGTTGATTTATGGCCATATTTTGATGCTCCTAGAATGAAATGGAATGTGATATGTGATGTGTCTTCTGGTGGTGGTAATTGTAATCCTGAAAGCCACCATCCCAAATTCCAAAAACCCAAATCCAAAAATTCCAAAACCCATCCCAAAATTCCAAAAATCTCTGAAGATCAACATTTACAAAATCTATAATCCTGAAAATCATAATTCTGAAAGGTCAGATCATGAAAAGAAGTGAGAAACTCAGGTGAAAAATATAAGAACCTCCCTTGCCAAATTATTCAGTCATGTGCAACTTCTGCCCCATCACGTACAGTACTGTATGCTTGCCTTCAAAGAACACCCTTTCCTCAGGTGTAGTCCCCATAGAATCTCCTCCACCAATTCAACCGCGCACCACACCTGAGGGGGGTGGGGGGGAAGCAAACATTGTTTAAAAATGAACAATGAGGCCTCCCCTGGTGACACAGGCAGTTGAGCGCCACTTTATGAAGCCATCCTTCCGCATCCTCTGCAGCGCTGGTTCTATCCCGGCCTGCTGTCAAGGGTCCCACATGGCACGGCAGACCTCTCCTGTCTCGCCCGCTGCTCCCCTCAGCAGTGTATTTCATCAGTCTGCCTGTTCTGTTACCTGCTCTGGCTCTGGCAAATCCTCTCACCCTCCTGCACATCTAGCCTGTACCCCAGTTCTTGCATAAATAAATAAATAAATAAATAAATCTTTAAAAAAAAAAAAAGAGCAGTGATGTAAAATATAAGTTAAAAAAACAACAAAAAACCCAAAATATCCTTTCTTGGGCCTCCGTGGTGGCGCAGGGATTAAAGTCTCAGTACTATCTGTCACCAGCACTGCAGTATGAATTAGAGCCCTCCATCCCCCACCCGAGCTAACCCACATGGAGCAGCAGACCTCTCCTGCCTCACCCACTGCTCCTCTCAGCAGTGTATTTCAGTAGATCACCTATTCTGCTCCCTGTCTCTGAATCCTCTCTCCTCCTCTGACCTATTCCCCAGTTCTTGTACGCATAAATAAAAATAAATTTTCAAAAAAAAATCCTTTCTTAGAGAAGAAAAAGAATTGGACATGCTCAGCAATCTTTTGAACCAAAGAAGTTCCTTTCACTGTTACATAACACATTAAATGGTGAGCTTTTCTTAATGAGGGATTTGAGTGCTGAAGATGATAGACTTATATGCATAACTGCATTTTGGATACTGGATGGCACTTTCAAAATGTCCCCACTATTTTTCATCAATTATATACAATTCATCCCCTTTTGGATTTGAAAATTCTAGTACTAATGCCCTCATTTATGTATTAATGACTGGAAAAGTGAATTGTTTTATAAATGCTTATTTGAAGATTTGGTGGACTTTATAGGAGAAAATTATTTCATTTGAATCCTCAAATCATAATGATAGATTTAGACTGAGGTGTGATCATCAGTTCTAAAAGTGAATTTCAGGGTATTACCAATAAAGTTTACTTTTTTCCAGTTAGCCTGATGCATTTGGTGGAAAGTTCAGATAACTGGATCACCATGTAGTACCAGATGATGAAAACTTAAGTTTAAAAATTCATCATTTGTCTGAATTAGCATTCCTAGCATCTGATGCAGTTCTAGTAGCTTTTAATGAATATAACCTTATTTGCCTGAAGAAAGCAACAAAGTTACATATTTGGTTTGAAAATAAGTATGAACATAGTAGGATAAAAAACCACTTACAGTGGTGTTGCTGTTTGATTATCAGTATAGTTTCCATCACTTTGTGGTCTCCATCAGACTGCCTATGGAATGGATATCCACAAACCAAAACCACAGAAGCATGGCACAGAAGATGGGAAAATCGAAAAGGGAATGCTCATGTTGGTATGTATATCAAATTATAGAAGAATCTCAAAAAGAAACATGCCACATACAGAATGAATGTTTATATATTATGTGAAGAGAGCCATTCCCTAAAACAGAAAAAGGGCAGCTAGTCTTCACAGTGTAAGACTTCAAAATTATAGTTAATTGTGATAGTCGGCCAACTCCTACGGACTGCCTCTGTATAAATGTCCATAATCTCTATCCCTGTAATCCTTTTTAATATGTTGAACTGGTTTTTAGTTTCTTTCCCATTATTTTAAATTGTCAGCAATATTTTTTTTATAATTCCCTATGCAATGTATTTCATTTTTACATCATTTCTAATACTGGTAAAATTTAAAGAAAGATTTTTGGAGAATTCATTTTTCACAAATTTGACCCTGTGAAAGTCTGTTATCACAGTGCTGCTTTTGTGTGTGCATGTAAAAACACTGAAATTGCCTCAGTAAATGAAGAGATATCCTTTTTTTTACATCTACATTTGTGAAAGATAAAAATTCTCTTGACAATGAGTTTTATGAATGACCAATGAATAAGTTTTTATGTTTCTCAGTCTCCTTTAAAAATGTAAATGAATGTCTTAAAGGAATTTTTAAAATTAGTTTTTCCAGATTATATTTTCTGGATTTTGCTATTTGGGATTATAAATTTTGGGCTTTTATTGGAATTTGATATTTGGGGACTTCAGTATTCAGGATGATGAAATTGGGACTGGATATTGGATTTCATCTTTTGGAATTATAACCCAAACTCATCTTCTGGTATGTTAATCAGTGGGATGGATTCACTGTAAACAAGTGATGAAGTAATCATTAGTGAACAGCTTGACTGACATCTTTGAACTTTCAGTTTGAGGTGTTGGAAATAATGAAAGTTGATGACTGTGGGAGATTTCAGGGAGGAATGTTAATAACGGTCAATAGAAATGCAATCATGCTTGGTACTGTATTATGATCTAGTTTATTATTACCTGGATTTAGAAATCAAGAAGTGTTTGCTCAGTGACAAACTAGTGTTTGGTGGTCTTCATTGTTAATGTTAGAAAAAAGAAGAGCTTAGTTAAGAAATGATAACCATATTTTAGTTGATCGGTTTGTATATTTTTGCTTCCTAATACGCTACATTTGTATTATTTTATACATTTGTATATTAGCTTGAGCTGTTGTAACAAAATACCACAGACTGGATGGTTTTAAACAACAGAAATTGATTTTCCCATAGTTCTGGAGGGTGGTAAGATCAGGATGCTTGCTTGGGTGAGTTTTGGTAAGAACTCTCTTCCTGGCTTGCATATGACTGCTTTCTCTCTGTGACCTTACCATGCCATTTCCTTAGTACATGGGTGTAGGTAAGGAGAGATGAGGGAGATAGAGCAAGAGAGTGCGCTCTTGAGATCTCTTCTTATAAGCCACTGTTCTCTCTGATAGGATTCCTTCCTTATGAGATCATTTAATCTTAATTATGGCCTAATAGTCCTATCTCCAAATACAGTAACATGGGAATTAAGATTTAAACACATGAATTGTAGGGAGACACATTTCAATAAGTCCATAGCAATATGGGCGATGTATTTTAATGTTTCTAAATAATGAATGTAATTTTAACTTATTGTACCAAAACAGGTAGTAGGCCAAATTTGGCCTCCAGGCTATGTAGTTTGATAATCCCTGTCTAACATGATAAATTTTAGAATAAAACGTTATCTTAATATAACAGTCTTGAATGATCATAATTCATATTTTATAATAATTAATAGTTCTAAAATCTTTTCTCATAAATTGCCCCAATTTAGTTTTAGAGTATATCTGTCTGCAAGATAAGCATTATCTCCAATTTATGGTGAGGAAACTAATGCACAGAGAGGGAAGATGAACTACCCAAATTCATAAAACTAGTTAACAGACAGAGCCAAGACTGATTATATTCTGAACTCTTCTCCATAATACGGTACTGTAAAACTTTCATAATGAGAACATCATGCCACTCTATAGTAATACTCATTTACTGCCAGAATGCTTAGAGTTCAGTCTTAAAATAACACTGATATTAGTAGTGCAGGCTCATTTCTGATTTTCTCCATTACTATGTTCTACTGTCTAGCTTTCTTAGTATTTAATAATTGGTATTTTCACAAAAGCTAGATATAGGAGGTGAAGGGTATTTGTTAAAAAGTTTGGTAAAGATTTGGACAGTACAGTCGTTCGTTTGCTCAATTTTTTGTTTGTATTTTAAAGGTAATAATTTTCTTTTCAGATATACAACATGAAACTAAACAATAAAAAACTCCCCCAGACCGTTTTCGTTCATATATAACTAATGTTTTAATTTGTCTAGTAACTTTTACCCAAATTTTTAAACTTGAGATCTTAAGAACAGTTTCTATAATAATGTACTTTTTGGATTGCTTCCCCATCAGGTGGTTGAAGATTATGCTGGACGATGGCAGGTCCCTTTGCCACAGCTTCAGGTTCTTCAGACTGCACTTTGCTGTTTTACTTCAGCCAGTGCATCATTCCCAGATGAATGTGAGCACGTACAATATGTTTTGAGTAGCCTTGCTTTGTAAGTACTTTTTACTTCTTATAAAATTATTTTTCTCAATGTATTTGAGAATTGTTTTTTGATTATTTTCTTAGTAGAAAGAACCTTTACTAAAGTCTCCCTCAACCAGAAATTTTCATTTCTTCAGTTAACTATTCAGGTTTAATTTTGAACCTTTAATTTAACCACAATATTACTTTTACTTTTATCACAAATGGAATTGTGATATAGATTCTTATGGTCACCACCAGCAGTTTACTTTTTAATTTCCCAGAGTGCCTTGGCACACTTTAATCATAAGTCCCACAGTACAGCAATTGAGGCTGTCATACTTCACATAGGAATCTTAAATAGCAAGAAAAAGTTAGGAAACTGCTGGTTTATAAAAATGTTTATGAATGACTTCAAGTTAGAGATTACAAACTAAGCATTTGTGTTTATTCTTTTTGCTCTCCTAGATAGATCCCACTAAAATTATAGCAAAGGAATTAAAAAAGAAATAAAGTAAAAAGACAATAGAAAAGTTTATTAGTGAGTGAAACTTTAGCAATTTCCTGGGGTACAGAAAGTAGGTGGAACAGTGGTCATTTAAACATGGCAGAGCAAGTCACATCTTCATTTGTGTGTGTGTGTGTGTTTGTGTGTCTCATATTGCACTCGTATCACAATAGAAAATATCAGAGTATGTCTCATAGGATGAATATTATTTTGTGAAACTCTTATTGTTTCCTTCATTTTTATGTATGTGTATAGTTCTTTGTGAAACATTTTTAACTGTGGGTGGCAGTTAAAACAAAATTATACACTAATTTATTAGAAAGAAGGAAAACAGTCTGTCCTGCCCTGCCTCCCACTAGAATCCTAGAGAGGTATAGAATTTGAACATGCAAGGTATGCAATAGAGAGTATATATTGAGATACTTTGGGTGAATGAAGATAAAGGAGTTAATTGCAGTTTTTCCATTCAGGCCAATCATTGAGCAGTGCTGAATAGGGAAACAGCATTACTACTTTTTTTCTTCTCTAAAGAAATTAACTGACTTTAGAGCAGTGACCTTTGCATTCTGGCAATCAAAGGTCCCTCCTTAAAAGACTAATCAGTCCCAAACCCTAAACATGCTCAGAGGGCTCTCAGTCTGCTTTTGGCCTTATTCTTAAATATTAATATGTATTCAAGAATGATCAGACATTTGAGGAATGCTTTAATATGAAAAAATACAATGAAGCAAAAAATTTGTAAGAAAGTTAATATGCAAAACAAAAAATTACAAAGAAAAATATAAAATCTATAATTAGCATTTTCACAGTATTTTAATACTTATTAAAACATCAACATGTTAAGATGTGTGAAAGAAATAATAAGATATCAAAAATGAGTTTTTGGAAATTCAGAACATAAGGAACGCTAATTTAAAAAAAAAAATTTTTAGTTAGAGATTTTTTTATTTTTTAATTTTTTTTACATTGTTGTTCATTTTAAAACAATATTTGCTCCCCCCCCCCCCCCTCAGGGGTAGTCACCATGAAATTTCCTTCCCCAGTGCACCCATGCACCATCACCTCAGTCCCCTGTTCTCTTCCCTCCTTCCCTCTGATCCCTCTTCCTCCTCTTCTCCTGCAGTATATTTCTGATTTATAATTGTCTGTTTTTGCTTTGTTGTATTTTGTACTGTTATTATTTTTTTACACTAATGTCTTATTTGGTTCCCTTATATTCTTCCTATAAGTGAAACCATCCGATATTTTTCTTTTTCCTTCTAGCTTATTTCACTGGGCATAATTCCTTCTAGTTCCATCAATGTTGCTGCAAATGGCATGAGTTTATCTTTTTTGATTGCTGAATAACATTCCATTGTGTATATATGCCACATCTTCTTGATCCTGTCATCTATTTTTGGGCATTTGGGTGGTTTCCAGGTTTTACCATTGTAAATATTGCTGCAATAAACATAGGTGTACAGGTGTTCTTTTCAATTAATGTTTTTGTGTCTTTTGGGTAGATCCCTAGAAGTGGAAATACTGGGTCATATGGTAGCTCCATTTTTAGTAGACTGAGGAACCTCCAGACAGCTTTCCATAGTGGTTGGACCTGAAATGTTAAAATATAAAGCTCTACAGCAAAGTCTAAAGGTAAAGAATATATATAAAACATAATCAAGAGAAGGAATGTGTCAGAAAAAAGTAATATTTAGGAGGTTCAATATATTAGCTAGCTGGAGTTCCAAAAGAATTTAGGGAATATTCATTGGAGTAAAATTTTCAAAGACATAATAAAGGAATTTCTTGGAACTGAAAGTCATGAACTACCAGGCTGAAAGAGCCCAAGATGTGCTCAGCACAGTGAATATAAAGATAATCAGCTAAATGCATTATTTTGCAATTTAAAAATACCAAGAATGAAAAACTAGATTTGAGCACTTGGAGAGGAAAAACTAGGTCACCTACTAAGGAACAATCATCAAATTGTTCATAAAAACAACAGCAGGTGGTAGAATATAATGAATCAGATTTGAGGGGAAATAATTTGCAATATGGAATTTTATACTCATCCAAACTATCAGTGAAATGTGAGAGTACAAAGAACATTTCCAGGCATGTAAGGACTTGTGCATACATTCTTCTTAGGAACTTACTGTAGAATGTGTTTAGAACAATGAAGGTGCAATATAAAAGACCAGGTAATAGTGGATCCAGTAAACGGTAACTTTGATTTAAGAAAAGTCACAAAATCATTGCAGAGCAGTAAATCTTAATAGATGTCACTACTAAGAAGGAAATAACAAGTAGAAACAGAGATTTGAGACTAACCTTGATAACTTCGAATTATGTAGCATAGTAATAAAAGCAGATAAGGCAAAGGATATGAGCTATTAGACACTCCAGGAAAATGAAAAATAGTCTGAATAGGAAAGGACCAGTATTATCATTATATGGATAATACTCATATCCATAATATGAGTATTATGGATAGTTTTCAAAATATAAATGATGTTTATTGAGTTTAAACTTTCAGGTAAAGTACAAAAATAATTGTAGTTAGAGAACAAATGAAAATTATTAACTTTTAAATATGGGAATATTTGATTATTTGAATTGAAAGTGAAGGACAAGGGTATTACTTAAAGGTATTACTTCCCTTTAATTCTCAATTTACAAAATGGAATGTCAGCATTAGATAATATAAATAAGGGTATAAGTAAAGTAACATAATAGAGGAAATAATAGCAGTGACTAACTACTATTGTGTGACTAACTACTATTGGTTGTGTGGAGAGTTCAGTTATCTTCAATTCAGTTCAATCCAGCATGGAGTTGAGATAATATTTAAAGTTGGTAAATTAAGATATATAGCAAAGCTTATCAAAAGCTATTATAAATATTAAAAGTAGTTAATTCTGGAGCATTAGAAGAGACAAAGACTTGAAACCTTTATGTACAGTTAGCATTTTTAGATCTTGGCAATATGTTAATTTCATATAGCAACTATATTTTATATGTACTTACGAAAATTTAAAGGAGTACATATATTGATACATTATAGCAAATAATTATGAAATGATGGATATGTTAACTAGCTTGATTGTGGTGATTAATTCACTTTGTATATTAAAATATCAAGCTGTACACTTTGAATATATGTAATTTCTATTTTACAATTATACCCCAATGAAGTGGAACAGAAGATTGTAGGAGAGTTTATAATACAATGCTGTTTAGATTTGTAAGAGCAAGGGATTAAACAATTATTTTAAAAATATTTTTTGTATTTAATTTATGATGCCTAATTGAATATGGAAACTAAATTAGGACTTTTTGATTATAATTGACAGATCTTATTCAAGTTAGCTGAAGCAAAAAAGAAGAGTGAAGAGGGATTTATTAGGTACTAAACCATGGAAAAAAAGGGACTGGAACTAGTTGAAAGAATTTCAGAATCCAGAGGATAATATATTATTTATTATTGTTCTCACCTTTTCTATCTTTGCTCTTTTGATTTCTTTCTCTCGGGGCTGATGACTATTCTTAAATTAAACTTAGTTTATTAATCAAGAGAAAAGAAACCCTTTCCCCCTTCATAATACTCCAAATGTCTTAGGAACTTGAGTCCAACTGAGGTTATATGCCTACTGCTTGAATTAGTCACTGTTAAAGATTTGCGTATGGAAAGATTTTTGGCCCAGTCTCATGACAAGCCCAGCTAGTGGAAATGAGGCATTCTCATCAGAACCATAGAAATAAAGAATGGATAAGCAGTTCCCTTAAAAAAAATGTGTGTTAATATGAAAGAGAGCTGGTTAGGTAGACAACAAAGACTCTTTTTATATGTTAATTTGAAAGCTACCAAAACATTTTGAGTTACTTTCTACTTATTTCTGAGGGAAATAAAGTAAATATTAAAAGAAATAGTAATAGTATACTTGTTTCAGTAACTATTTGGATTTTCCTCCCTTTCCATCTATGTAAACTTTTCAACTTTAATATTAAAGTATGAAAGTGTTTCTGAGGCTTTCAAAAGTACTTTTTAAAAAAAATGTAAGTAATTTGTTTATTCTGTATTATTGTTTGCTTGCCTTTTTACTACTGCTCATGAAGATATATTATAAAAAAGAATATATTAAACAGAAGCAAATTTTATCCCAGATGGACAGTACTAGGCAAAAGAAAGTAAATTATCTTACAGTTTTGTTAGATAATAATGACTCTAAAGGAAACTTTATGTATTACTTGATTTAATTTAACAGAAAAATTAATTGTATTTTCAGTACCAGAAGAAAAATGAGGAGTTAGCAATATGTTGATAGTAAAGTCTATAACAGTATCTTATTTTATTTAAATATATAGTTAGGCCAGAAAATTCTAATGATCATTTTTCCATAATCATTCATTCATTCTGTAAATATGTGCTTCTGTGGATAAAATGGAAAACATAAAGGATAAATCCTTGTTATCAAAGACCTTATAGAGCGAAAAGATATTAAACAAGCAGTTATTCTGTTAGATATTATAGAATTATAATTACA